AAATACAATTTCATAAATCAAATTGGTATGTCATATTAAATTGCATTGTCGAATAAGTATTCCCTGGGGGGGTATAATTACCTAATAATTGTCAGCTCCCTTAGTGTATAATTTATTTTATATGAGCCTATATATTATCTCTAAAATCCTAGAAATTTCAAATCAGTTCCCACTTACAGTACTAGAGATTGGGTCGGGTATCGGGTTGCAATTGCACCAACCCAAAGAACGGTTAACGGTCAATCTGCAGGCTAAACCTCAGATCAACCTGCGGATTAAACCCGTGAACCAGCCCGTGGATCATCTAAAAGTAGTTGATATATAAAATCTTGAGTTAAAATCTTATTGAATGTTTGGTGAGAAATCTTATTGGATGTTTGGTGAGAAATCTTATTGAAAGTTTGGTGAGTATGAAGAATTATTTATAGATTTAAATATCATTAAAAATAGAACAAAACAATAGCATTAACCGTGGATTACTTATCTACATATGAACAGATATTAAAAGCCATCTGCTGACAAATAAATCACTGAAAATCAATCCGAATAACATAAAGTCGAATAACCGCGGAGATGCATGTCGAATACTTGGTAAATATGATACAAAGAATTACAGAATAAGTTATTAAAAATAGACCAAACAATGCAATAGCATTAATAATCGTATCTAAGGATGGGTAAATATGATGAACCACTTGCAGATTTAAACAAGGCATTAGAAATTGAATCAAATGGTGCAACAACATTTAAGCAATTGTGGATTAACTTACCAAAGGATAGGCAAATATGAAAAGCCACTTACTGATTTAAATAAATGATTAGAAATCGAACCATATTGTGTAGTGTTATCGTGCAAAACTTATGATCATAGTTTTTCTTGTTATTTCTTTACATTATTACGTAAGTGTATTATTTCAACTTGTAACGTATGATCATAAATTGCATGATAACACTATATTGGATCATGATAATAATCATTGCATGACCAATATCTTATAAATAAGGTCCACATAATTTCACCGTCACTGACAGCTCATTTAGCCGACATCACGCCAGGTGAAATTTAGTAAAAATATATCTGCAACTAGTCAAATGCTTAATCCTAACCCTATGTGATGTCGGCTAAATGAGCGTTCGGATAACTACCCTTATAAATACTAGATAGTCATGGATTAATGTATCAAGGGATGGGTAAATGGTAAATATGAGGAACTACTTGTAAATGAGCATTAGAAATAAAATTGAATAACATAATTGGTAAATATTAAGAATCATTTGCAACTTAAATAAAGAAATTAAAAATCGAACCAAATGATGTAACAGCATTAAATAATCGTGAAGACATTTATCAAATATTATATAATAAACATATTACGCGAATAGGTGCTAATATTAAAAAAGTGATATGGTCAAGAATTCGTCAACTTGTTTAAAAATGTAACTCAAGATGAGATCTCAAAAAATCAATATTTGTGTTATGGAAAGTACGTGAGAACTCGACTTATAGAAGATTTACTAATACCTAAGTGTTTAGCAATTTTTTGAGCTGATAAGCCTTCCAATTTTTTTCAATCGAAGATGCTTTATACGTATGTACATATCGATGTGCTAAAGTTTATTATCCTCTGGCCAACCTCATCTATGTAACTTTTTTCATGTACTTATTTCTACTAGATATATATCTATTTAATTTAGGTAATTGAGTATTATCCTATTTAATCTTAAATATCAAAAATAGTGTGTAAAATAAAAGTTACACTTTAAAATAACAGATTGCAGGAGATAAATCAGTTATATCCTGTGTTGTTGGATATAACTATTTCTAATTGTCCGAAGCGTAGCGAGGACCCATATGTCTAAAAATGAAGGTTCCCATGATAATCTGCAGTCAATGTAATAATACTCAATAGAAAAGTTATCTACGTTATACACATATTTCGCTTCGGACCCACATCAGATTCTGATTTTCTAGTATATATTCTATTACGGGTAAAATTTCCACCCGGGTCAACCCGTCAATCACTTGAATAACTCGCGGGTTTACCCGGCGGGTCATCCGGGTTGGATTTTTTTTTGGACGGGTCCAATCTCTACCACTTACAAGTCTATTTGCGAATTTATCGAATTTGCGAATAAATTCGATGATTTTTGCATATATGATGTAGTTGAGTTGTATATGTTAATGGGAAAGCATCATTGGTATAATATTTCTCTTGTACAATATTTTTAAAAACCGTTAGTATAATCATCTTGAGGATAAAAGGGAACCAAATTCCATACAAGTAAAGGATTTTTAGTTTTTGGATAAATTATAAGGTTCAAAAATATATAAATAAGGAATGATACAACATACGGTGGCCGAATAGGATTACGTGTAAAATAAAAATTAACAAATCATTCTGAATATTTAGGATATGCAAAGTTAATGCTTTGATTCTCGTAAAATACAGTTGTAAAAAATGATCGACAATCCGACTTTATTGATTTTTAAAATTCCTACCCGGCATTTGTGAAAAGGAAATTTTGTTCATGTAATCGTAAGATGTGATCGGACTAATCATATGTGGCGCAGCATATGCGTTAGATGATTCATACTCACGTGAACAACGTTGAGCGCAATCAAATATTTGTGCAAATGGAATAGTAACCTCATAAATAGGAGCCTCGTCCATCGATTCTTTTTTATTGCTGATTCCATAAAGAATATTGTAAGATGTTATATTTTCAGGAAAAAAGCTCGGATTATGATGAGGCCTATCGTTTAATGATGAAAATGAATTTGCTCTTGTGGTAAAAAATTCGACATTCGTACTTTTTTCATTATCGGTATTATTTAAATGATGCATGTGATTTCCAACTTCTGTAAGGAAGAAAGGAAAAATACTATTAGGTAACGTTAATTGAAATAAAATTAAAGAAATGTGCAAGTGTAAGCTTTTTTTTATGCTGATATGATGAGTTTTATATAGGGTTGTTCATGGTTGATCCAATCTTTCAACCCAACCATTAAATTAGACTTGTTTCAAATTCTACTCTGGGTTGCGTCAGCTTATATTAAATTTAAATGGATATTATTTTTAACCTATTCCAAGTTAGATTGTGTGGCATAAGAGTACGCTACACCGTTAACAACTCTAGTTTTATAATTTATTTAAACCATTATCATTAATCGGAGCATCAAAACATAAATTATTTGACGGTACTCCCGATTAGTAATAATGGGGATGGTAAAACAGCATAAAATAAATGTCCTTACGTAATTGTATTGCTTCAGTATCAATACCTCGAACTTCATTTTGATTACGAAAAAATTTGTCATGATAATAAACTTGAGACATACGTCCATCCTCTAATTCAGATGCATGTCCCATAAAATTAAGATCTATTATATTACTCATGTTTGCACAATTTTTTTGTTTAATATTAGCAAACGAAGGAGGTTGATAACCAATTTTCGCCCGCCGGGTTGCTAAAGATTCAATAACATCACGTTTTGTTCTCGGTGTAGGACCACGCCTCTTTCTCTCAGTGATAAAATTACAGACTTGGTTTTTTTCCCGACATTTGGTACATTCTGGCGGGCCTGAACATCTAATTTTTTTAGTTTGGCAATTTTGGCAAGCAATTGTAACTTTAGTCCTTGGTATCATGATGGAGACAAGAAATATATGAAGCTATTTCTTGAAACTTGGGAAAAGAAAGTTTTTAAAAAAAATTGTTTTAATATGTTCATAAGGAAAATACACCTTTTCATGAAAAATGTTTCTCTCATACAAGTTGTTTTAAAGTGATTATTTTTGCATTTATATATGATATAAATGTGTAGATACCTGATGATTCATCCTATTATAAAGTTTAATGTAAGATTTCTACATAAAAAAAAAAAAATAATAATAAATGATTTGATGATCACGAGAATGCAAAATATTCTCAAAATGTACCCGGTTAGACACTTAACTTCTAACCCTAAACAAATAAATTTGGTTTAAAATAGCTATAGTTAGAGGCTAAGCAACCCCTTTATGATATCGAATTCATGTGTTTCGAACTCTCGGCATCCCGAATAGAAATCATAATTTTTTTAAATGTTTAAATTCTAAATGGATATATACGATAGAACCCAGTTTATTCTTTACCCAGAAGGCTGTCACAGTATCTCAGCCTGATTAATTGAGATATCTATGTATGGATTACGCCAGATGTACTAACATTTAGGTTAGTGTAGCCTATCAACTTACAGGTAGGAACGTCCCTGATGATCCGATCGTTACACGATTTATAAATAATTTTTTTTATACGCTTTACAATACTTTTTTTAAAAAAGCTCGGATAGTTTAACTTTCTATAAAATTCGGGTAATATAACCGATGAATTGACATTTCCACGAAATATTCTCTTAATCCCCGTTAATCCCGCAACTTTTTTCGTCATCTGATTGGCTGATTTGCCAACATTCCTAACTGTACCTAATATCTATAGTTTCACGTAAAAATGACTGGTTAAACCTTAAGTTCTATAACGCCATGCAATGATCATTAGAAAATAAAAATCTATCACGAGATATTTATATATCACAATAATCGTTCGATCCGTGATCCAATATCCTGCTTGAATGATAATAAGTATTTGGTATTTTTAAAGTATTCGTTGGTGAATGTATAATGATATAGTATAATTTCAAGCGCATTGACAAAACATTCTAGAATTTATGCTGCCAATAGTTATGCCATTTTCGGCATTAAACGCGACCCGGAGAATACTCCTTATTACGTGTACTATAGCATATAAATATCAAAAGTCTAATTTTATCTCGTCATTGATAACGTCATTTACATTACGCAATTTTGATAAGCTGAAATGCTACACGTGAAAGATGAGACAGTTAAGTATTATGCGTCTGTGTTTTCCTATTTATATTATATACAATAATACGTATGTACGTACGCACGTAACATAGTTTCGGAACCACCGATTACCCATTTCTTTACCATATTTTTTTTTTGTCTGTCTGATACAAACACAACATGAGCTCAAAATAATGAAACTCAGTTCGCATTTGCATGGATAAGGAAGTCAAGCAATTTTCCTGTAAACTAAATGTAAATATAAACATTTATAAGCTTGGATAGTGTCAGGTGATACTGTAAATAACTAATTATTTCCTCAAAATACGCATGAGCCTTTTACACACTTGGCTAAGGTTAACTTGTCATAACTCCCTAGAGGATTATTAGCAGTGCACAAAATTGCGGAATGATGTATTCTAATGTTTTTCCTGGCAGCATTTCTATTAACAAAATTTAGAATTTATAGATGGAAAGAGTATAATGTGAAGAAAATATCAAAAATTACAATATTAACAAGAAGACTCTGATTATTAAAAATTACACTGGATTTTTCTTAATTAAACAGAACTGAGATTTGACTGTATTGAGTATTTACAAAGATCACTCAAGTATTTCATCATAGATCCAAACTCTCAGCAACAATGAATTATTATTTTATTTCTTAAAGTTTTTATAACTATTTGAACTTTGGTCATCTGTTTTAAATCGATGAAAAAATGGATAAATTTGTTTTTTTTTTTTTACCATCCTACAACGGACAACTAACAACAGGGAGTCACGTGAAACAGAGACAAAATTGTGAAATAATACACAGTATTAGCTCTCAGGCCCGGGCGATGCTTCGTGGGCAAGGTTTTAAACCTGGGTTTACTTAAACCGGATCGAGTTCACTTGAACCAAAATTGGGTTCAAAAAACCCGACTTGGGTTCATTTGAACCTGGCTTGTGTTCAAGTGAACCCAACATGGGTTCACTTGAACCGGGTTGAATTTGGTTTTTTGAATCTTTTTTAATTTTTTTAATTTTATGTTTTTTATTATTTTAATTTTATTTTTTTTTATTTTAATTTTTAAATTTTTTTAATTTTTTTATTTTTTTTAAGATTGTACACGGGGTGTTTGAATACTTGTTACATAAAACAAATAGAAAAGCCAATCAAAATATAAAATTAAATGCAGCATGCAGATTATTTTTTGTACAACAAAAATAAAGAAAAAAGTGAATAATTGATTAAACCATCTTTTAGGCTTTAAGAAAAAATTTCTTGCAAAATTTTATTATAAACTATACCTTTTACTAACTCTAACATCTAACTCTAATCTTAAAATTAATTAAAAATATTGTTACAAAGTTGTAACCTTTTTAAACCAATAAAGCTATGCAACAAGGTCATCCAGTGCAGTGATTGACTTTTGCAAATATATACAGGGTGAAAATGTAGTTGTTCACTTAACTACACAGCAGAAGACAAATAGTTGGAGATAGTGACAGTATATAGAATAATTTTATTTTATATAAAAACACAGGGATAAATCTTGCCTGTAGAAATTATTCTAGAAAAGAAATATCATATTTACAAGATAAGAGGAGTATAAAGAAAATAGAGTCTAAGTAAAGTATAAAAACTTAAAAATTGGTAAAAATGGAAAAAGATACCTTTTATATATTTTTTTATTCAAAGTGAGAATATACAATATACATTAAATGAGTAATATTTAGCAGGTGAAGAAGGTGGACTTGTATAGGTAAAGTAAATGATTGTGTTGGGTGAAATAGATAATTATGTTAGGTGAAGTAGAGAAATATAAATATTACTCATCATGTTTATATTTATTTATAACTTGTGAGAAAGAATCAAAAGACTTTGCATTATGTCTAAAACACTTAGAACTTGTATAGATAAATTAGAAATTTATGCAGATGAGTTAGATGTTTGTGTAAAAGAAAACAATAAACTCATATTACTTTTTTTTATAACTTGGGATGTTCTATAGAATAGATAGGCAAACTCCACAAACTTTGCAACTCTAATATTAAAAAATTAATGATTACAAATTATTAGCAAAGCTTATTTCTTATATTGCCTATCTATTCTATAGAATATCTATAACTTGTTTGTATAACTCAAAATACTTTTTGTATAACTTTGTATTACTTTAGATTATATGATTGCACTACAGTTCTAATAGTTTATATAATTATTATATAATATACTATCTAAATATATATAAAACTAATTTTAAGAAAGTTGCTATTTTCATCTCTTATTTTTGCTAATACCACTCTCCAGATATCAAAAGGTGCTCTAAAAGAGGTATTGTTATTAAGTAAACCTTTTTTTTGATCTTAATAAAAGTTATTTAACAGATTTTTCTGATTCTAATGGTTATAAAATTATTAAAATTAGACTAATAGTTTTTTTAAATTAAATAAAAGCTAACTAACTTAAAATATAAATATCTTAGAAACTACTAGTCTAATTTTAATGATTTTACTATTATTAGAACTAGAAAAGTCTAATAAACAATTTTTATTAAAACTACAAAGAAGGTTTTCTTAATAATAATATCTCTTCTAGAGCATTTTTTTAAATTTTAGAGTAGTATTAGCAAAAATAGCAATTCTCTATTTTAACTATATAAAAATATAAATATATAAAATAATAATAACTAATTGTAAATTATATCTGTATTTTAAATACTCTGTATAAGATTAGTATTAATTTTTTAATTTTTAATTTTGTAAAATTATAAATAGTTACCTATCACTATAGTAACTCTATATAATTAGCCAATTTTTTTTAGATTAGTAATCATATATAAATATACTAATTCTGTAATATTTATTTTTGTTTATTTTGGGGGTTTTTTTTTGTATTTATTGTTTATTTTTGTTTCACTATTTAACTTTCACTCAACTTCAGGATTAGGTATATACTTTTAATTTTTTGAGTTTGTTTTTTTTATTAAAATTAATTTCTTTTTTTTAATTTTTTTTGCTTTTTTTATTTGCTTTTATTTTTTTTTGTTTTTTGGTATTCATCATTTTATTTTTGTACTTTCATTGTTTTAGTTTTTAATTTTTGCTCAACTTCAAAATTAAATATATGCTTTTAATTTTTTAGTTAAAATTTTTTTATTAAAATTAACTTGTTTTTTCTTTTGTTTTTTTTATTTGTTTTTATTTTTTTATTTTTATTTTTTTGTACTTTTATTTTTTTTCTTTGCTTTTTCTTCTCTTTTGTTTTATTTTTATTATTTCTTTATCTATTTTTCTTATTCTTTATCTTCTTTATTTAATTTTTCTTTTTTTTTATACTTTTTAACTTTTTTTGCTAGTCAGATAGATTTCTTTATACATTCAACATCCAAACTGAAGAAGTCTTTGAGAATAGCAAGAAAAAAAAAGTAGACTCCCCTATATTTTCAATATCCAAACCAAAAGAATATTTTGGAAGCAATGTTACTATGAGTTTTTGTGCAAGAATATCAAGTAGAAACAGAAAAACTAGGCTATATAACTGTAACTCTTACAAAAAAAACCTTATATACTCTTGTTGGTCTATCACTTTTTTTCAAAGAAATCCTTTTCAAAAGATTAATATTATATGCATCAAAATAGTTAATATTATTTATTCTCAAATTAGTATAACAAAACAACAAATATTTCAAGATATATACCTTAAATATAACAATCTGATTAAACAATACTCTGAGATTTGGATTAAATACTGACTCTTTATATTTTATGGTTGAAAAAGTATTTTCTACTGGTTTTTAAACTTGCATATACTATTTGGATAA